GCAATATGGGTTCTATTGCTAGCCCCGCCACAGGCTTCCTACATGACCTTGTGCAAGTCACTTAATGCCTCTGCACCTCAGTCTCCGCTGTGTAATACTTACTGACCCCAGGGCCTGATTCTGTGCCCTCCCTCTGTAAGTACTCCCATTATTACTCAGCACAGTGGAGCCATCAGAGAGACTGTTGGGAGGCTTCATTCATTAGCATTTGCAAGGCACTTTGAGAGCCAAGGCTAGCTGGTACTATAGCAAAAGTACTAGCTAAAGGACTAGTACAATTTACTAGGCACTGATAATAAACTGAAGATGGGGGCAGGGTGGGAACGGGGATAATCCTGAAGATGCTGGCATTTCCAAACCAACAGCTCAATCAGTGTTTTAGGGAGACGTCTTCATTTCCAGAGAATCCGGTGTTGGGAGGGAAAGGGAGAAAAATCAGCCTTGTGTTTCTGTAATTTACATCTGTCCCACTAACAGCAGCCCAACAGACAAACTCAGAAGCTGCTTACTGCTCTACACTAAGAGGTAGTGAGTCTAATGCTAAGATGATTAGTTCAGTCAAATGCAACTTTCTGGAAAGGGAAGAAAACTCATTGCCCATCACTGGGAATTAAAATGATTCAGAATCCAAATTGAACTCATCAAATTCATGCAAGTAGCTATGTGAATAGAAATCAGGTTCAGCTTTTAATTACTGCAAATATAAAAGAGACTAAGATTCGCTTTTTAGAAGGAAGGTGCAAGCTAGTGGACTCTCTTACCAGCTTGAGCAAGATCGGTGCTACACCAGTGACTACTTTAGGCCCTGGCCTCTAGGCACAAGTTATTGGTTAACCAGACACTTAGGCAAAATATCAAAATAAATAAGTTCTTCTGCCCCCCACGGGCTACAGCTCCCAGAGACTTTTCTCTCACCTCTCTCAGCCAGTGCCCTGACCCAAGGACTCCTATAGGAGCCTTTCTATGCCCTACAATTCTCTCCTTCCCCAGCCCATTTACCAAGGCCCCATCCAAGAACTGGGGCTCCATTTTCTATTCCTTGTATGATCTACTCCTAAGCAGGAGTAGATCATATTCCAGGACAAGACCTGGTCCACACTATTATTTTAACAGGGGAGAGGAAAATCAAAGAAATAAGCAGCAGGAACTACACTAGGAACCCAACTGTTGCTGACTGTGATGGTCAACACATTGTGATTGTGAGCTCACCCCGCCATCCCCTCAGTCTGTATTGGAAACACGTTAGCCATTGGTTTAGAAAGCTTGATCCGTTTCCATGCCATTAATGAAAGCATGACAGGTGCTTCATTCCACCAGGTGCAGATGGACCCTTCATTTAACAGCATTTCATCTTAGCTATTTCCTATAAGACCCAGGAACTGCCGTAGCAGCAAAGACCAATGGCCCACATGCAATAGCATTGACCTCTGTCCAGGACATACCTGACACTTCAGAGGAAGCATGACATGCTGAAGTCAAACGTTCCCACTTCACATGGATCTTAACTGTCATTTGAGAAACACCTCCCCAGGGAAGACTTGGCTAAGGGACACTCAGTCACTTACCTTTCCAACTTCCATATTAGTTACTTTGCTAGGCCCAACTCCACACACCCTTGCAGTAAAGCCCTCCAAGGAGCAGGGAAGAGAATTCAAGAATTCCATTTGATTCAGCCAGTTTGTCTTGTAGGGTTTCCGCTCCATGCTCCTACCAGGGGCAGGGCTTTACAGCCTTAAAGGGAGCAGAGTGTGGGCCTCCAAACTCCAAGAGAACCTGACGCTCCACAGGGAAGGGATGTTCCAGACGAGTGGATCCTTTGGGATGGGCTGCTATGGGTTCTCCACGCTGCACCTGAGCTCTACGCCCTCCAAGTAGGGGAGGTGATGTGGTGATCAGGACTGCTGACTTTCTGGAGGAAATAACTCCTGTGTTTGAGCCTGAGGGGAAGAATCCTGGGGAGTGACTGCTCCTGGTTGCCACAGGCAGTGCCACAGCTGTGCGGTGTTCAGACAGAGGGGCTCCTGCAAGCTCAAGGGAAGGGGAAAAAAGCTGGAAACTTAGGCCCAGATCCACAAAGGAACTTAAATCCAGATTTAGGCATCACTGCAATCCACAAAATCCCCACTCAGCTGCTGCCTAACCCTGTAGGTGCCTAAGCTCACTCAGCACCTACATTTTTGCTGCAGAAGTTCCCTGGGCGCCTATATTTCTGCCTCCGGGCATGTGCACTTCTGTCTTGCTTTAAGCATCCTTACATCTAGGTCCCAGAGCGATCCACAAACTGAGGGAAGATAGGCACTCCTCCTCTTATCTTGCCTGTGGGGTTCCATCCAGTAGGCATGCTCTGAGTATACCTAACTCCACACAAAATGCCTGGGGACAGGAGGAGGCAGCCTCCCTTATACTCTTTCGGCCAAAGGTTAGGTTACTTCTCTGGGATACGGGAGACCCTGGTTCAATTCCCTCTTTGCTTGATAAGGCATTTGAATAGTGATCCCCCACCTCTCAAGTGCCCTAACTACTCAGCTAAGGAGTGAGAATCACTGTCTCTCTGGCCTAATTAATTATTCAACTTCAACAGAAGAGACAGAGGAAGTCCAACATCACAGTATCCCACAGTCCGATGGCTGAGAGGTGGGGAACCCTTGTCCAAATCCCTTCTCATCAAAAAGAACAGGGGTGGCCAACCTGTGGCTCTGGAGCCACATGCGGCTCTTCAGAGGTTAATATGCGGCTCCTTGCATAGGTGATGACTCCAAGGCTGGAGCTACAGATGCTAACTTTCCAATGTGCTGTGGGGTGCTCACTGCTCAACCCCCTGCTCTGCCCCAGTTCCTTCCACCACTCCACCCCTTCCCCCAAAACCCCTGCCCCTTCCCCCGAGCCTGCCATGCCCTCACTCCTCCCCTCTCCCCACCAGAGCCTCCTGCGCATTGCAAAACAGCTGATTGCAGGAGGCGTGGGGCTGCCAGTGGGCGGGAGGCGCTTGGAGTTGGAGGGGGGTAGCGGATGGGGGACTGCTGACATATTACTGTGGCTCTTTGGCAATGTTCATTGGTAAATTCTGGCTCCTTCTCAGGCTCAGGTTGGCCATCCCTAAAGTAGAAGGTGGAACTGAACGGGTGTCTCCCACATCCTGGGGGAATACCCTAACTACTGGGCTAAAAGTTATAGAAGAAGTCATGATCCTCCTCCTCCTCCTCCTCCCCATCTCAATGGTCCGTTGTGTGGCACTAGGCAAATGCCTAACTCATTCTTGTAAGAAACAGCTTAGGCACCTAAGCCACCTGATTCCGGGACAGGAGTTCCCAGTTGTGAACCACAAGCAGAGATGGGCACATCCCTGCAGCCCAGACTTAGGTGCTGAACTCTGTCAGAAGGGTGGGGCTTAGCCCTCTCCCCCTTCTTGGCATCTCCCATTGGCTAGCTCAGGCATCTCCCCACCTAGCATATTGGCTTTTATAGGGAGCCTAGGCACCGAACTCAGGCTTTGTGGATCCCAAAGTTGTTCCAATGATTTTCTAGGTGCCTAAAAGTTAGGCATTGCAGTGCCTAAGTCCCTTTATGGATCTGGGCCAAGTCTCTTCTCCTCCTTCCATGTGTTTGCTCTCCTCTGTGTCACAGAGCAGAGAGAAGCACAGGGCTCCTAGTTACTAATCTTGCCTACTAGCTACCTCGTGGTAAACTCTACAGTGCAACTCAGCCTGGATGTTAGGACCTAAACAGAGGTCCACGTCTAAATCTTGCAGATTCTTTCAGCAGAACATCAGCAAAATAAGGCCTTTCTTGTCCTTTCACACAGCAAAACTCTCATCCAAGCTCTTGTTATCTCGCATCTTGATTACTACACCATCCTTTTCCCTGGCCTCCACAAATGCAATTTTGCCCCACTCAGATCCATTCAGAGCATTGCTGCAAAGATCATTTCCCTAGTCTATCGCTTTGGCCACATTACCCATCTGTTGGCATTCCTTCATTCGCTCCCTCTTGTCTATCACATCAAATATAAGTGACTTGTCTTCCCTTTCAAAATCTTTCATGACCTATCCCCACCCTACCTATTATCCGTCATTCAGAATTGTAAGGTCGCCTCCCACCTCCACCCAGGCCCATGATGCCAGTCACCATTACCCTCTTGTTAAATTTTCAAACAAACACCTTTGTGCTTTCTCCCATTTCCCCCCCAGGTATACTGTCAGGCCCACAGGCTTCAGGAGCTGGTGTTCCTTCCGGCTGAGTTTTCAGCAGGTTAACCCTTAGAGGGTCCCATTTAAACTCCACACTGGGTAGGCACTCCCTGTACACATCTGCAAAGCCACCTCATTATCCACCTTCAAATCCTTCCTCAAAGCTCACTTTTGCTGTGATGCCTACAAAAAAACCTTAACAAGTTAGGCTGCTGATGTGCAGAGACCACAGTCTATCATACTGACCATCATCATCGGTTTCCTTGGGTACAGACAAACTGATGGGGGAGTACATCTGTTGTCTCTTGTCTTACAATCTAAATATAATCTCTTTGGGGAAGGGACCATCTTTTTGATCTGTGTATGTACCCCACCTGGCAAAATGAGGTCCATGCCTGGGGCTCCTAGGTGCTGAAGCAATACAAATAATATAATATGGTGCTTTATATCTATTAGGATTTTACACTGAGATAACTAACATGCAATAGTTACCTCACTGTTAAAAAAAAAAAAATCTTTGCAGCAGTGAAGACTTGCATTGCCATTGCAGCATTAGAGCTGTCAACAAATAATTGCAAACATATACATATATTGGCAGAGACCAAGCCTAGAAACCCATAGGTGACGTTTTCAAGAAATTATTCGTGATGCAAAACAGGTGCTTAGAATGGAAACACTTAGGCAACCTTAACTATAGCTGTTATTTGCACTCAAGCTATAACATACACACACGCTTCATGAGACAGAGAAAAGCAACTGCTCTACTAAGTTTCTTGAGATCTCAGGGTTCTGCCAAGTCCTAGAGCCACTTACTTTAGCCAGGTATGCAGCATTCCTTATTGTCTCCACCATCTCTCTGCCTGCAGGGTGCACCTTTGCCACATGCACCCACATCCTCTCCCAGGTCTGCCCATCGATAGGGAAGCCACTTTTATTGACGAGGAAAAGCACCCCTCCATCTTTGTCTTCTTCTTCCGAGCCCCCGTTGTTGGCAGTGCTGACAGGCCGTGCATGGGTGCTCCTTGACCGGCCCCCTTTGGCTCCCTTGGGATGGGGGCAGTGGTGGGCATTGGAAGTAGAGCCTGTCATGATGGGTTTGAATTGCGAGAGCAGTCCAAGTAGGAAGTATGTATACAGTTCAATGCCACAACAAGGAAACCTTATCCATCTCTCACTTGCTGCCACAGCAATCAGGCAGAGTGGTTATTAGCTAAAATTAGCCAGCGTGAGTGCTGCTGGGTTTATTCTCTTGTGGGCTGAATCTAAAACCAGCAGAGGATGAGAAAGAGGAAAAGAGAAAGCATGTTAACAGAAGAAGAGGAGCAGAGTTTATGCAAAGCATTCAGCTTACTGCATCACCTAGGGCTGGCACACAAGAGGATAACAACATGGCTAGATCCCTTTCTGTATCAACTAAGACTGACAGACAAAAGGACAATAGCAATCTGGAGAGACACCCCTGTAAAACTCCCGAGGGCGTCACACAAGGGTGACAATAGCAATCTACCTAGATCTCGCTCCATATTACCCCTGCGGGTTCCCAAAGGGGGATGACAAGTGACCTGGACCTGGCTAGATCCCTCTGCTTATCACGCTTAGGGCTGTCACATTAAGAGACGATGGCACTCTGGCTAGATTCCTGTCTGCATCACCCGGTTCAATCTGACACAATGCTGGAGTCCAAAATGTAAACGTAACATAATCCCCCTCGAACTAAAGCCCAGAGACCCTGCACTCCACACTCATCCTCTCCTCTTTCCTCAGAGGTGGGTGATTCTGTGTCAGCCACCAGCAGCAGAGAACCAGACTGCAGCACTAATAGTATTATCTTAGGCTCAGCTCGAGACGGGTCCGTTCGCAAGCGATCCCCAGCAGCAGAGGGCTGGGCTGGGAGTGGGTGGGAGCCTGCCTGCTTCCCCAGCTGCTGCTGCCGGCCATTCTTTAACAGACATGCCACCTCTGCCATGAATCCGCCACCGCCCCCATACCTGGTCGCAGCGAGATTCATTGCACCAGGGACTCTCCGGGAGGCTGGGGCTGCTGCGGCTGCCTTTTCCGCCTTATTCCATGTTCCATGATTGTTACTCTCTGACACGTAACCATGTTACCCGGCAGCCGCCGACGTTCCGAGCGCCCCTATTGGCTGCCGCAACAAAGAGGGGCGGCCCCAGGAGCTGGAAAGCCACGCACAGAAGCTTTGCCGAGTTCTGGTTGGCTGTGATCTTGCCAGGGGGCGGGGCCAGCAGGAGAAAACTGATCACTTATTGCTGGAGATGAGCTGCCGTCAGTGTCTGGAGCTCCCAGTGGTTCGATGCGTTTAAATCATAAATCGGAGTGTTACATCTGTTAGACATTTGTACGTAGATGAAGATTAATTTTCTAGCACCAACAGTATTCTATGTCGGAACATTTATTTAACATACTGTACTAATTATTCTAAATGAGGGTAGATTACTTATTTCTCTGGTACCCACAAGCTGCAAGACACTTCACAGCTATGATCCCTATCCCAAAGAGTTAACGATCTAAAACCTTAGTCCTATAATCAGATCCACATGGGGTGACATTTGCATCTATACAGATCCAGTTACAGAACCATCGTCTAAAGCAAGGGTTCTCAAACTTCATTGCACTCCGACCCCCTTCTGACAACAAAAATTACTACATGACCCCAGGAGGGGGAACCAAAGCCTGAGCCCGACTGCCCCGGGTGGGGAGGCCAAAATCAAAGCCGAAGGGCTTCAACTCCAGACAGAGGGCCTGCAACCTGAGCCCCACTGCCCAGGGTTGAAGCCTTCAACCTTTGGCTTCGGCCTCAGGCAGTGGGGCTTGGGCTTTGGTCCCGGGCCCCAGCAAGTCTAAGCCAGCCCTGGTGATCCCATTAAAATTGCAACCCACTCTGGGGTCCTGACCCACAGTTTGAGAACCGTTGGTCTAATGTAAAGTGCCACCCTGCCCACCACTTTTACTCTCTCTCCCCTACCTCAATGGGTTGTAACCAGCGACACTAACATTCCAGTCATACACATTGTCCCACCGGGTTTTTCCATTTCCCCTCCCCAGGGAGAATTTCCAACTCCTCTTTCTTATTGCCCAGATTCCACTGCCAAGAGCAGTGTTGCTTCCCTTCACAAGTGTTATCTTGCAGCGCACATACACTGCAGAACAGCATTCCCCTGCGTCCACACTTGTGTTACTGTAAGCCAGGGAGAGACTCCATCTCACGTGTCCCTTTCTTCCCTCCATTGGAAGGTGCCAGGGGAGAAAGAAAACGTGTCCCCAGGGCTGAGGCAGAATGGGATTGGTGGCGTTGCAGCATGGGATTGCTGGCATTGCAGCATGCTCACCAGGAACCCTCAAGCCTTCCCTATCAGCTCTGCAGCATCAGAACAGCAGAGCCTGGATTGGAGCAAGTGAAAGGCCTATTTTCCACAGAATCCTTCCCTCAGGCCCAGAGCATTTAGAGCAGAAATCCCTGTGGGAGTTAATGTTGCTCTAAAAAGAGCTGCCAAGGGGCGTGCAGCTTCTTGACAACACCACGCAAAGTGATCTGTTTGTAGAGATGCATAAAGCCCTGCACTGATTCTCTGAGAAGATTCCCCGGAGCAGTTGGGGGAGGCAGGACCTTATTCCTTACCTCTCGTGACAGGGCTGTGTGAGAGCTTGTAGAGAGCCAGAGGCAGCTTTCTAGAGGGTTAATTCAGAAATTCCCTATGGAACCTAGGGGCTGCGGCCTACGGCAGGAAGGAGCCAGGTGGTTGTTGGAGTGACTCTAGGAGGAATGCTATGGGATGGCTCTCTGATCACCTCTTCACTCTGCTTCTTCCCACACCCACATTTGGGGTAAGTCCATCACCTCCTCCTTAGTGCGTGCGGGCTGGAAACCAGATACGGCAGTAGAGAAGTTGCTCACTCAGCCCATGCACAGGAGGATCCATTGCCGCTCAAGTCCTCCTGCTTGACACAGCCCAGAGGAATGCATGACACTGAGCCTGGACTCTGACTGCATTAGTCACCAACAGGTGAGTGTGGCAGGAGAAGACACATAACATGTCTACAAATAGCTTTTTCTGGACTGCTGAGGTGGGGGGAGAGAGGCCAGATTCTATCTGGCTCCTTAGGACTCTGAGGAAGCTCTGGGATCTGGAGCGAGGTCTCTGGAGCCTCGGGATGTGCAGGTTTGGAGACATGTGGCTCCTACCTAGTCCAAAGTATCCTGCCGTGCTCCCCCACAAGAGCCATATTAACAGGCAACACTGCAAGTGACCCCCATGCCTCTCTATTTCCTTGGCCATATGTATTGTGTCCTTTTTCTGGTGGCTAGTCCAGAAAAAGAGGACAAGAGCTCACTACTCCTACCGCCTCAGGGATTTGTTGGGTTAAGATCAGCTGGTAGAAGCATGCAATAGCGACAGAATCTGGGACTTCAAGCCGCTAGAGTGGCCTATTACCTTTATAGACCTGCCCTTTCATCCTACACAGCTATTTTAAAGTTTAGTGTGATAGTAAAGAGACCCATTTTCAACCCTTCACCACACAAGACAAAGCCCGCAGTATTCATCATTAACTATTTATTTCTACTCTCCTGGCTCCCAAACTGCTTTCCCTCCCTACTGCTGCCAGCCACCTTCGAGTTCTCCCTCTTCTCTCCCCGGCTCTGCTCACTCGATTGCAGCAGCTCAGCGGATGGTCCAGCTTTGCTCTTTCACTTCCATTCTTCTTCACTTCTGTGGATGGCTGCATTTGCCATTGAGCAACCTGACAGAAATATCTGAGTCCTCTGTCTAGGCATGCAGGCCCAGCAGCTAAAGCCAAGCCCCACTGAGAGCAGCGGGAGATTAGCCTGGAGTCAGGAGTGGAGGCTTGGCCCATGGGGACCCCAGGCACTGCAGCTGCTGCTACCTACATGGTGAATCCTCCAACCCATCGCCAAATGGCTCTTCCACATTCTGCAAACTGGCCTCACTGGCTGACTATCTAGGAGAACAGAAATCCTCTGTTAGAACAGGAGAGTCTCTTCAATGCAGCACTCTTTCCACGGCTCCCAGAGGGTCACAGTGAAACACCTGCGAGTCTTTAGGAGTCTCTCAAGGAGTTCCCTGCTCAGTCACTTGGCACCCACTAGCAATGGTCTCTGATAGTGGCATTGCAAAGGGGAGCTCAGCAGATGGTCCCATCTGTGGCTTCCTGAGTGGGAGGGAGGTTGGTCTTGTCATTTAAGGCCTAGCTGTCAGAATCAGGGCTCCTGGGTTCTCTGGCTTTGGAAGTGGGTGGAGTCTAGTGGTTGGAACTGGACTGGTATCAGTACCATGCTTCCTTCCTGCATCTGTCAGTGACGTTGTGTGTGACCTTGCAGCCAGTTGCTTTCCATCCCCGTGTGCCAGCTAACAGAGATAATACTGAGCCCCCTCAGAGGGGCTGGCAGGGGTCACTACTGTAATGACTCAACTTGGAGTGAGTTGTGCTCTTGGCAGCGAAGGGCCCAGATTCAGTCCCATGGATGCCCAAGGTGTCTATATGTGGCCATGGTTTGACTCACCTAGCATTACAGGCTGTTTAGCCCGGTCCTGGCCACGTGTGGTGCATCTGCTCCTGGCCCTCTCTGGCACACAGCTCCATCACACACAAGAACATGGCCCACCAAGGACAATCTATCAGCTCCCATTTGGTGTTCAGCTCCAAGATGGATGGTGAGCCCTCGTCATACCGTAGAAAGACAGGGTGGTGTTCTTCGGTAGAAAATGCTGGAGCTTCAGGCTCTGCTCCCACCTGCACGCACACGCTAAGGGCTTCAAAAGTGGTCCCTGATCCCAGGTAAACAAAGTAGCTGAGCTGAGGCCAGGGTGGGTGTAATTACTGTGGGGACTGAGCCTAAGAGAAGAGGAAATTTCTCCTCTACTCTAGGGAGATTCCCATAGGGAAAGCAGCTGGGGTGGGGGCAGGGCCGGCTCCAGGCACCAGCTGAGCAAGCAGGTGCTTGGGGCGGCCAAGCGGAAGGGGCAGCACGTTGGGCTCTTCGGCGACAATTCGGTGGAGGGTCCCTGTCCCTCTTGGAGGGAAGGACCTGCCGCCGAATTGCCGCCAAAGAAGAAAGCGGTGCGGTGGAGCTGCTGCCGATCGTGATCACAGCTTTTTTTTTTTTTGCTGCTTGGGGCCCTGGGTGGGGGCAATACAAGCACTAACCCTCAGCCCTTGAATAGCAAGCAACTAGGACTTTGGGAGCCAAAGTACTGGTGTATCTTGCTGAAGAGCAGAAAAGGGCATTGGAGAAATTGCACAAAAGTCAATGTCACGGCTGGGTCAAGGGCAGCCAGACCTACTGGTCAGAGCCAGAGTCCACACTCACATGACAGGAGTTGAGAGTCAGCTGGGTCAGGATACTGGAAGATCAGAAACAAAAGACAAACTTGTGATCACAACCACAAATCAGATACCAGGAAATCAAGTCAGGGGAGCGGCAGCAGAAACAGGCAGCACATGGTCCAGACCCTGGTGTTCAGTCAGCTTCCTGTTCCTGCTGCTGCCTTAAGCAGGGCCAGAGGGCCAATTAGCTTCTCTGGGACTCCTCCAAGAGGACCTCAGGAGTGGAGCCTTAAACTGGGGCTGAACTTCATGGGTCCTCGGTAAGCAATTTTCAGCAGGCTTCCAGGTGGAGGGTTGGAGTGTGACTGCTCCCATGAACCCTGCAGACCCGGGTTGAAGACCCCTGGGTCGTGACAGTGAGTGATTTCTCCCCACTCAAACCTCCTGCAGGAAACAGTCTCCAGGATCCTGGACACATCCTCTGAGAATAAAATGAGGATATCATGATGATAAATAGGTCTCTGTACCAGCTCTGAGATCCAGTGATAGGGAAAGCTCCCAACCAGGATATGTAGCAGGAGCCCCCTGTTTGTTCTTAGAGCCCCAAGTGGCAGGAAGAGTGAACAGTTCTTACCTCCAGGAGATGCATGGGATCTTCCATCTGAGCCTCAATGAGACCCATGTTGCTTAGTTTGACAGGATGAGATCACTGCTCCCTGAGCTGGGCAGGCTGCAGGATACATCTGTGTGAGAGGCTGGGACTGAGCCTGAA